TGAGCGAAGAGTGGAGAGGAACAAAAGTGTCTATAGTTATGTGCATGTTGTGAGGGTGGCGGGGGTCGGTGGAGGTGATGTGTGTGTGTGTGAACACAAAGAAGAAGGACCATAAAGGGTGTATGGGAGAGTGTGGAAGGGGTGGGAGGTGCTAAAGTGGAGAGGAGCTCAGGAGAAGTGATGCAGAAAGGAATGAGGCTAGAGATACACAGAGCCTATGCTGAGTGGACTCACTGAGATGGGTGGGTAGATTGGGGAGGTAGGCCTGTGCACCAGTCTGAGAACTAACTAATCAACCTGCACTTGTCTCCTCCCTTTGCTCCATAGAAGATGTACAGTGGGGCATCTTCCCCATCGGCCGAATGCCAGGTCAGACTGAGGACCCAGCAGAGCTTATGCTGGAGAATTATGACACCATGTATCTTTTGGACCAGCCTGTGCTAGAGCAGCGGCTGGAACCTCCAACATGCAAGATAGGGTAAGTGTCCATAACAGCAGGATTTCTCACCCCTTTGTCTCCTGCAGGCGGGAGACAGGAAGAAGGGAGGGAGAAGACACAAAGTGGGGTGAGTAGGAAGGTACCTGTCCCCAGTCAGGGCCTAAATGAATTAAGTATAGTTCCAGTCTCTGCCTGGGCCCTTGTAAGGGCTCCCAGCCCCCAGTGAGAGGAGCCAGTGAATCAGCCACATAGAACTGGCTTGGCTCCTCTCTCAGATTGCATCGAATTTTGTCCATATGTAAATGTGTGCGTGTGTGTGCACACGCGAGCATTTTGGGAGGAGAGAGTTCTGAAGCTTTCAACAGATTCTCTAAAGCAAGCATGTCAAACTCAAAGGCCACATGGGCCAAATAAACAAGGTTTAAGTTTATGTGGGCTGCAAAAAAGCAAAAGCTTCAATTTTCGTAGAAACATAGGTTTATTGATTTATTTTTATTTATTTTTTAAAAATATATTTTATTGATTTTTTACAGAGAGGAAGGGAGAGGGATAGAGAGTTAGAAACATTGATGAGAAAGAAACATCGATCAGCTGCCTCCTGCACACTCCCTACTGGGTATGTGCCCGCAACCAAGGTACATGCCCTTGACCGGAATCGAACCTGGGACCCTTCAGACTGCAGGCCAATGCTCTATCCACTGAGCCAAACCGGTTATGGCAAAACATAGGTTCATTTTGATAGAGACATGCTGAATACAAAGACTGAAATAATTGAGTAATTGTTAACATAAAATAACATTTTAATAAAAATGAATATTTTTTCTTGAACATTAACTTAACAGACACTGAATAACTGCACAAATTAAAAAGCATAACATTAATATTTCTCTTGTCCTCTAAAAGCAAAATATTTCCTGTTGCGCACACCAAACAAGTCAGTACAAGACTAATGGCATGGCAATCAGCTGCTAAAATATTCGTTGCTAGTATTAGTGAGAGACATGGTGAGCCTGCGCATAAGGCATGTAAAGGAAATGAATGCAACATAATTATAGTAATCAGTCATTAGCAAACATTGTAGTTCATTATTAATAATTATATATAGCAGGATATTGTAAAAATTAAGTTACGAAATTTTTATTAAAACGCTTCTTACATAACATTATATTGGCTGGGCCACAAAAATATTCATTGTGGGCCACATTGCGGGCCACGAGTTTGACATGCTTGCTCTAAAGTGTCAACCACTCCCAAAAGGTCAAGAATGGATACTCTAATCCAATTTCCTCATGTTCTGAGGAGAACACTAAGGCCCAGAAAGGGGAAGGGATTTGTCCAAAGGTGCACAGAGTAATCAGTAGACCTCCCCACACTGTACAGGCATCTTGGTAGCAAGGCCTGCACAGAGCTTCATGCTCTCCCTCGAGACTCACCTCTGTATCACAGGTGTGGGAACTCTTGGGTCATCAGGGAGGCAGGAACACGCGGCCCTTACTGAGGGGCTCTGCTGGTGGTCACACAAAGAAGCCCATCCCATGGGCTTGTATATTCCAGAATGCAGGGCCATTGTGACTGGGGGATTCCTGTGAGTACCAGAGAGAGACCTTTGTGGGCCCCTGAAACTAAAAGTCTATTTTTGTGCTGCCTGCCCACTCCCTGGGAGATGAGCCCCTCTTCCTCTAGACATTTGGGGAGAGGGCTATAGAACTCAGAGGCCAGCAGCCAGCCAGGCCCAAGGCAGTGCCATGAACTCACTGTCCGAGGCTAGGAGACAGCAGGCTTCTTGGAGAGAGTGGAGGAGGCAGCTGGGGAAGCCACATAGTGTGTAGCTGAGAGTGGGGTCCACACGTCGGAGAGAGATCTCCTCTCCCCTTGGGTAATACTGGCTTGATGAACACCAGGGTACTAAAGGTGAAGTGTGGGAAGGTAGAACTAATTCCAGAAGGAAGCTAATTTGGGCCAGCTCCCACACCCCCTATAGTAGGGAGGCTTCTTCCATTGTACCAGGTTTTCCTCCCTGACTTGGCTTTGTGGCTTAGGCAAGTCCCTTTTCATTTCTGGGCCTCAATTCCCTTGTCTGTAAATTGGTGGGTAATGGGCGGGGATGGGACTAAATCATCTGTAACTTTTTTTTAGATGCTCTAGTGTAACCATGGATCTGCCTGAGGAGAGGATGATGGCTTTGCTCTCAGCTGTCCTCATCTACCTGGAAGGTCCTTTGACCTGCAGGAAGCAGGGGAAGCCAGAGTTTCTGAGCAGGGCCAGGGAAGGGGAGGGTGCAGTATCTCCCTAAAGCAATGTTAAAATCCTGGCTTGGGAGCTGGGCCTAGTCCTATAGCTTATACCTGGCCTTGGGCCCCTTAATTAGCTGTTGGGGTGGGAGGGATCCAGCCTAGGGTTCTCTGGGTCTCCAAGCTGTAGAGCCTTGGAAGAGGCCTGTTATGGTAGGCACTTTTAATATCTTCCTGTGGGTGGGGTAGTGCTGGTCCCCCATCCTACCTCAACCCAAATATCTCTGCTTTAATCTGGTTTATATACTGGGGCTCTGCATAAAATTTTATTTGAAAAGTTCTGTTCCTCCCCTTCCTCAAGTGAGGGGAGGACAGAGCCACTTCTGGGGGTTATCTGAAGTGGTTTAGATTTGCTCTAGTCTCTTCTTTGTAAATCCAGGCAGGATGGTGGGCCACTCCCATAGATACACAATCAAGCACCCTTAGGCCTTCCAGAGCCTAGAGCTGCCTCCTTCCCTGACTGTGCCACCTCTTCGTAGCACCCTGGGCCTGAGCTGTGGCATCGGTAGTAGCAACTGTAGCAACGGCAGCAACAACTTGGAGGGCCTTCTCTGGAGCCAAGGTCAGCTGCACAGGCTCAAAACTGGTCTGCAGCTCTTCTGATGTCCACCCCAGTACCACCTCTGTTGGGGCAGGAGCCCACCCCTCAGTGCACCTGATGTTCCATGAAACAACCTGGGAGACAGTCCTTGGCAGCCACATCAGCTCAGCGTTTACCACAATGTCATTTTGATTGTTTTTGCTTTTGTTTTTGTTGTCTTTTGAAAAACAATAAACAGGCAACTGTTGTTTTGGTGTTTATGAGATGAGAGATATGTGCTGGGGCAGACCAATGTGGTTTTCCCTTTATTCTGTGGGCTCCAGAGAAGGCGGGATCATAATGGGGCTTTGAGCAGGAGCTGGGTCCTGGGGCCCCTTGGACCCATCACCCCCGATTGTTTCTATCACAAGGCTCCATTCATACCTTCTTCCTGACTCAAATCATTTTTGCTCTCAGTTGTAGGCCCCAGAAGAGAGGCATTGCTGGACATACAGGCCAGCCAGCATCAGGGAAATCTGCTCAGAACCTCCCAGACAGCAGGAAGACCCAACCTTACTGATGTTACCCAGCAGGCTTCTGACTCATTTCCCTGCCTGCCCTCACTGGGCACCAAACAGCAGTTAAAAGTGAGAGTAACCTTTTTTCGTTACTTTCCCACTCCTTTGGCCTAGAAAATATAGAATGAACTTCCCTGTGGTGGGCACTGAGAGACAGGGATGAATAAACCATGTTCTCACTCCTTAGAGCCCTCTTCCCAGTAAGTAAGAGCAGTCACCAGTGAGTGCCATAAGGGATTGCGGTATACTACCACAAGTTCTTTGTTTTTCTCAGGGTGAAATTTCCAGGGTGGTGGTTGACTGAGGTCAAGTCTAGCTATAGTATCTCCAGCCCCAACTCTGGGGAGAGTAATTAACTTTGTGAGACAGTGAGCATCTCTGTGGGGCCAAGTTTGGGCCCTGAGGAGGGGAGCAAGGGACGGAACCAGGCAACTCTCCAGTCAAGAAGCTGGTCCAAGAAGTGGCTGAGCCAAGGAGAAGGATTATGCTATGAAAATGCCAAGGAGGGCCCTAGCTGGTTTGGCTCAGTGGTTAGAGTGTTGGCCTGCAGACTGCAGGGTCCCGGGTTCGATTCTGGTCAAGGGCACACACCCGGTTGCGGGCTCAATCCCCAGTGGGGGGGGCGTGCAGGAGGCAGCCAATCAATGATTCTCTCTCATCAGTGATGTTTCTTTCTTTCTCCTCCTTTCCTCTATGAAATCAATTTTAAAAAATGCCAAGGAGGAATTTAATGAAAATGTTATGCTAGAGCCCTCTGTCAAGGGTTTTAACTTGAGTTAGAACCTCTAGGGACTGCTCAACACCTTTTAAAGGATATCCTGAATGTCTCTGTGGCTATGTGTATATAATTTTTCTAGGGCTGGTCCACAGATCGAATCCAATTATTAAAGGGGTCCATGAGGTCAGCAGCCCAACGGGGTTAAGATTTCCTGTGCTGTGTGGACCTAAGCATTAAGCAGTCTCCTGCACTGATTACTGTCAGTTTTTCTCTTACTCTTCCCTCTCCTGCCACAATGACAAATGCTGTCTTTTTGCATCCTGAAATGTCAGAGCTGTAGGAGCCCTCAAGTATCTAGGCCATATCTGGTCAAGAGACTTGCAAAAGTACTCTGGGAGATAGCTCAGCGCCTGCTCCACAAGAAGGTGGTGCTGCAAGTTCTTGGTTTCCCTCCACCACTTCTCTAAAACAGCCTGAATTTTATCTACTATGTATGTATTGGTATTCTACATAGGATTTTTAAATTTTTTGTAAAATGGGTTTTGTGGCTAAAAAGTTGGGAAATCATAGTTTTTTTCCTTTACTGATTTGAGAGAGAGAGAAACATCAGTTTGTTGTTCTACTAATTTATGCATTGAGAGAGAGAGAGAGAGACATCGATTTGTTTTCCACTTATTTATGCATTCATTGGTTGATTCTTGTATGGGCCCTGACTGGGTATTGGACCCACAAACTTAGTGTATTAAGATAAAGCTCTAACCAACTGAGCTACCTGGCCAGGGCCTGGAGATCATAGTTTTAATCTAGACCCCTCATTTTAGGCATTGAGACACTGAGGCAGACAAAAAGGGAAGGAATTAGCCTAAGGGCACAGAACAATTTAATAGCTTGGTATAGATCAGTGATGGCGAACCTTTTGAGCTCGGCATGTCAGCATTTTGAAAAACCCTAACTTAACTCTGGTGCTGTGTCACATATAGAAATTTTTTGATATTTGCAACCATAGTAAAACAAAGACTTATATTTTTGATATTTATTTTATATATTTAAATGCCATTTAACAAAGAAATATCAACCAAAAAAATGAGTTTGCGTGTCACCTCTGACACGCGTGTCATAGGTTCGCCATCACTGGTATAGATCCACATTTCTTGCAAAATCAGCATCACCTGGGTACTTGTTAGAAATACAAATGTTTAATCCCACTTCTAACCAGAATCAGAAAGGTTGAGATGGGCAGCAATCTAGTTTAACAAGCCCTTCACATGACTCTGATGCATGGTAAAGTTTGAGATGCACTGAGTAGAAAGCTACCCAAAGACCTATGTTCCATGCAAGTTCTATCACTTAATGAGAACAACCCGGGGCAAATAATGCTACAGTTTCTTCATTTGTAGAAGGAGAATACTGTTTGCCTCACAGGCTTGTTGCAAGGATCAAAAAAGATAACGTGAAAGTGCTCTACAAAGCTTATGATGCTTTGTATATATGAATGATATGTATTCATACCAGAGTTGGTGGGCCTTGATCTCAGGACTCAGGTCTTCATATATCCTTGGACAAAGTGCTTTCTCCTGGCTTTCAAAGACTGACCTAAAGATGAGGGGCAGGCTATCTGAGCTCATTTCTAGTCCAGGTCAAAGAGTAAGAGGCAAGGGTCATTGTTGGCTGAAATCCTCCTAAAACCTGGGATTTGTGGAGCCAGGTTCCTGGGTGGGCTGCTTCAGATGGCAGGGATGGGGTTGAGTGGGGGGTGTGGGGAAGGACCAGCCAGGAAGGACATTAGCCCAATGTCCTTGGACATCTTCCTTCTGACTAGAGATTGATTAGAAAGTCTTTCAGCTACACACATTTAACTGGGAACAGAGTTGGGAGTCAAGGAAAGGGAGCATAGATTATATTATTTAACAACAGTAATTGAGATTCACTCATGATTCCTGTCCCCAAAGAACTTCCTGTTTTGTGGGGGAGTCTGCTGTGCCAACACAATTATAACAGAGTGACATGTACTAAAATAGAGGTATTGTTCAAGATACTTGCAAGGCCCACTGGAGGGAGGACTAAATATCTGGACAAGGAGGTGGGACAGCTTAATAGAGGAGGTGACATTAGCAGCGTGTCTTCAAAGTCAATAGAGTACTAGTCACAACAAGGATTAGAAAGAAGGCAAAAGTCTGGAGGGGATAAGAAAGAGCATGGCATGTTGGGGCACCTGTGAAGGGTTCAGGATGATTGGAACATGCGTTATGTGAAGAAAATGTAGGTCCTAAGTCCAGAGAGGTAAGCTACATACAGTGGGTTATGGTCAGACTAGTTGATTTTCCACCTATGATTAGGGAGAGGCATTGAACACTGAATTGTTCCTTCCTGAAATTCTATTTTTATTACTTCCCCTACCCTCATACTGCTACTGCCCTCCAAGAAAGTCTTTTTTTTAGAAAATTAAATGTATTAGCCCTGGCCAAGTAACTCAGAGCATCGTTCCATAAACCAAGGTTGCAGGTTTGATCCCTTGTCTGGGCACATACAAGAATCAACCAATGAATGCATAAATAAGCGAAACAACAAATCTCTCATCAATAAAAAATTAAATGTATTAGGATAACATCAGTTAATGACATTATATAAGTTTCAGGTGTACAATCCTATAACAATGAAAGTCTTTATTAATTTATTACTCTAAGTGTATTTCATTCCCTCAATAGAGCGCAAGTTCCAGAAAACAGGAACTGTTTCCTCTTCATTTCTCCCTAGCCCAATATAGGCCAGGCCCCTATTTGGTACTCAGTAAGAACTTGTCATAAGTATGCCTGAGAAATGTGTGAGAAGGCAGCAAGGGGAAGGACACAGAGAGGAAGAGGGTGGGGAGAGATGAGCACTCTTAATCTCAAGAAGGATGATGAAAGAAAAAAAAAAGATATTCTCAGATTCACGAATAGCCCCTCCCAAAGGCTTCTAGGCTGAGCTCTGCAGCTGTGGCCACCTCTGCCTTTATAATGAGACTGGCCTGGAGTGGCAGGGCTGGGGTGAGTAGGAGGCTCCAGAGAGGACTGAGGGAAGAGCAGACACCCCTGTGATAAAGGGCTCACTGGCCTGGAGCAATGAGGCCAGGGTTTCATTCATGGCTTTGCCACTAACTCCCTGTTCAGCTTTGGTCAAATTACTTCATTTTTTGGAATCTCAGTTCCCACACCTATAACCTGATAGAGTTGATGCTGCTGAGTACTCCCCGAGTGACTTTTCTGTGAAGTATAGAGTACCAGGAGGCTTCTAGCTCTAAGGCCCAGCATATGATGCCTCTGTGACACTGAGGCTATTCAGGGGATAAACTATAGGTTCTTTACAGAAATAAGCCTCAAATCTGAGTTCTCCACCTTGTTCTGACCCACCAATGGATGCCTTGCCCCACTCAAGCCTGAGGGAATCTCCAGTTGACTAGCATTTAGAGCTGTGTTAGTAGACAAAAACTGCTACTGTGATAAAATTCAGTTGAACTCATTTGGGAAGATCCCCCTCCTTATAGCTTATCTCAAGATGCCAGTTCCAAGGACAGAAATTTAATCATTTTAGGAGCAAACCAGGGTGTGTATATATGTAGGTGTGGTATGACTTTTGGTGTTGTTCTTAAAGAAACAAAGCCATTACTGGTTAGTAGACAAATAGTTTATGCAGTAAATAAGTGTAGTTACAGTTCATTGTTGTCAAGTATACACCATTTTCCATCACTATTATAGGCGAAACAAATTAAAACCTCATAGTCATAGACATTCATGCTAGTAAGTACATATTGCAAAGCATTGCACATGCATTATAGAGTCAGACAGAATGGGGTAGAATATGTTTTCACTCACCTCTGGTTAGCTTTGTATATTTTGTCATTGAGACTTACATTGTGTTTGGGTCAAACAAAAAACCCAAAGAGATTTTATAAAAGTTTACAACCATTAAACAGTATTGTTTAATCCTACAAATAGATAAAGCAAACTACTATAGCTCAATGATTCACAAACCAGGATGGAAAATAGTCAATCTGCCTATATATATAGCTAGCTACAATATAATAGATAGTGAACATTCTGAGTCTTTTCAAAGGCATTGACTACTTTAGACAAGCAGGTTCCCAAAATATACTGGTTTGGTTTCCAATGAGAACTAACGTCATTTCATTTGAAGACTATATACTCCTCAGTGTCAGAACTGAGGAGAAGCAAACTAGGGGAAGGCAGAGAAGGGTTAGCAGGAGACCTGAGCAGGACTCTTTGGACAGCTTAACATTACTTTCCCTGTGTAGTTCCAGACCTGGTTCACAGAGTAAAACAAAGTATATTAAAATTGGCCCTCAGCCCTGGCCAGTGTGGCTCAGTTGGTTGGAGCATCTCCCTGTGCCCCAAAGGGTCATGGGTTTGATTCCCGGTCAGGACACATACCCAGGTTGCAGTTTCGAGCCCCGGTCGGGGCATGTACGGGAGGCAACTAATAGATGTTTCTCTCTCACATCAATATTTCTCTCTCTCTCTCTCTCTCTCTCTCTCTCTCTCTCTCATTAATAAAAACATATCCTCTGGAAGGAAAGAAAGAAAGAAAGAAAGAAAGAAAGAAAGAAAGAAAGAAAGAAAGAAAGAAAGGAAGGAAGGAAGGAAGGAAGGAAGGAAGGAAGGAAGGAAGGAAGGAAGGAAGGAAGGAGAAGAAAGAAATTGGCTCTCAAAAGGGGCATTTGTATAGCATAAATAGAATGGTATCTCAAATTAATTTTTTTATATTAGAAGAAAACCCAGTGTCAAAGGTTAATGGGTATCAATGTTTGAATATTGTATAAAGACAATTTATTCTAAAATAGAAAAAGTGGGATTTAGAAGTATTCTTCTGGAAACTAGCAGAGAGAGGGAAAGAGGGACAGAAATAATTACTTAGAAGAAAAGTTTGTAGGCCATTTCTATAAGGCATCTGTCATTCTCCCTTCCATACCTTGCACCTTAAGAGAGAGTGTAGTGGCTGTATGCTACCTTTGAAAAGGTTCCCTGGATTGAACATGCCACTCCAGAGTCACACTTCCTCAGGTTGAAATAAAACATAACAACAACAACAAAATCTACAAAATCTAAGGTCTGAACAAGCGTAGACTTTCCATGAGTTCAGAAACTCAGAGGAAGAATTAAAATTGCAAAGCACCTCTTGCAAAATGTACTACTGCTTGAAAACCACACAAAACACTGTGCAGTAACCCCTGCTGAGTGCTTTGAGGTAAATATCCTGAAGGACACCCACTTAGGTCCATGAAGGAAGCTTGATTTCATTATCAAGGAAGCCAAGGGGGTTCCAATGCTTCTTTGTATTTGCTGTTTTATAATTACAGACACAATGGAAAAGTCAAAGAAGTGTGTAGGCCTCAATGTAAAGAAAATGTTTCTCTAATAACTTCACTAAGAAACAAGCTGGATTTATGCATTCATAATTGTATAGCTCTACTTACCAATTCTTGCAAATGATTCACTAATACTGACACTTGGTATATGAAATTCCTTTTGCAAGGACATATTAAATTTAATAGGCTAAGGAGAATTTATTGCAATATAATGCTTGAAACTGTATATACAATGTGCACATAGTAATAAAGAGGCCTTGAAAAACTGTCTTTGTCTATGAACTACGACTGCCCTTTGGAAATAAAAGCTCTCTCATGTCTCCTGGGCTACTTCCCTGTGACACACAGTGCCACAAACATCATGGTGAAAGTCAGTACCAAACCTAGTTTAAGATGAGTTTTGTACATTTGTTACTATACAATCAGGAAAAAAAGAGATACAATTTGTATCAACAAAAGGTCATTTCTGGTTATTTTAGGCATTGCTCCTAGCAGCTTTGGTTCATACACATTTTATGAGAAGAGAATGACAATTGTTTTTAGGAAATAAATACATATTCTGCCTTAAAAATATTTCCTGCATTGGGAGGAGCTTATACTTTTTTTTATTACTAAACATGAACATGTTCAAGATGAATTGCAGCTGACAAGATTAATCTTGTGCTTCCTGGTAAATTGTGCAGGTAGTGGACACTGTGGTGCCATTGATGATTTTGGTAGGAAGATGAATTAACCGGCACAAAGACAATAGAGTCCTCTAAAATTGTCAAATACCCTGATTTAGACAGGACAGATTTAGAAGATGCAAGAAGTTGAAAGTATGAAATGGTGGTTGTGTGAAATAGGAAGCACTTCAGTGGCAGCTGTTACTCTCTATGGACCTACATGGCAGAAAATACTTTTACACCTCAATATGCTGGGGAATGGAAAAATCAGAGGGTAGGACATGAATGTGAAGCTATGGTTAACAGAAGGGAAACATTGGTTTGTACATTTTTGATCAACTAGGACAGTTATGGAGAGCCAATAAAGAGCATGCAAGCCATTATCAAACCACCAGAAACAACCCTGACTACAGCCTCACATTCAGAGTGTTTCAGAGTAAGAAACATTTATAGGCAGTGTCACACCTTCTCATGAAGAAACAAAAGGCCAAGGCCAGGCCTTCTTAACTTTTATGAAAAAACGACCATAGAAATTATTAAGATCCAGCTCATGAAATAGTGAGCTAGTCATGGTTCAAAATGCTGAACTATACAATAGATTCAAAAAGGGGGTTCATTTAGTGCAGCTTTAAAAAAAGAAAAACTAAAAATGCCTCTTCTAGAGGCATTTAGCTATAAAGGTTCCCACCCTGAGCAAGATAACAAGTTGTGCAAATGATGCCACTCAACCCAAAGTCCTGCCTTCTTTAGTAATGCATCTAAGAATTATCTAAGGGCAAGTTTGCTCTCTTGGCATGTATTTGAAGTACATAACTGAGCCAGATATTAGAAAAGATGTAGCATCCCTTTTGGAAGCTACTTTTTCTATCTAGAAAATCCCCTGGTTGTGTTTCTTAAAGAAATTCTGCTCCACCAATGTTCAACTTCATTGCCCAAAGAGTGGACAGTAGGAGAAAGTGGATTACATGGCTGTGCACTGTCCTCCATTACATTTTATTCTGTGATGTTGAATACTGCATAGATCAGAAGTCCAAAGCTCATCCATTAGACCCTTCTTGAGTGCAGCTTTTGTGTCCATCATTTAATGCCACATGAGTTTGGCCATCTTTCTGGTAGTAAATTCCTTGGCCCTGGTCAAACTCTTTTGTGCTTGTCTAGCACACACTTACTATGCTTGAAACTTGAGCTTATCAATCAGCTATTCTGCAGAAGATGGCAGCAATCTGATCCCTAAATTGCTGAGGTGAAGAGATTTAAAAGCTAACAACTCTTAATAAATGTTGATAAGTAAAAAAGTGCAAAGGAAATAGTTTGCTCTGTTGCCTAAGAAAGCAGTGTTCAAATATTAGCATGTAATTTCACTTTAAAAGTGAGTTGAAACTATGAAATGTGACATAAATTTATCAACTCAGATTTGTGATCTGTTTAGCTGTAGACTAAGGACTGTGCAGAGCCTATCTTACCACTATATAAAAAGTTATACAGAGATACACACACATTTCAAACTAAATGCATACAGTCATACATGCAATATAATTCCTAGCAGTAGATTTGAAATATAGCTCTAGAAGCTTTGATGTGACTCTATAGCTTGGTTAATAAAGATATTAAATGGTCAGATATCCATGCAATAAAGTATGCATTTGTTTTTAAATAGCTTTAAATATTCCTATTAAAAATTCTAAAAGGTTAATTCAACATATGACCTGATCTTGATGTTCTCTAAATTAGATATATCATCAATACTTTGTAATATAAAATGTGTAACTATGACAACATAATGGAATCTCTTGGGGTTTCTTATACTTGGGCCTCTCTCCCTAGGTTTTGTCCTTCATTACCTGCATGATGCAGTGCAAAAGGGTATGAGACTTGGAATCAGAGGACTTGGGTGTGAGTCCTGACTTGGTAATTTGCTAGCAGTGTGACCTTAGCAAATAATTTAATCTCAATGAGCTTCAGTTTCCTTGTCTAGCAAACAACACATTAGTAAAACTTACCTCACAGGGTTATGTGCTTCAATGACGTTAACAGTCTGTAACTTTTAAAGCGCAACACACAATTATTAGTTACTATTATCATAGTATTAATGCATTATTAGTATTAATATTCATATTTGTATAAAGGAATAGATACTATGTCATGTCAACGTGCAGCCCTAAGCTTAGAAACAATCAAGGCTGCCAGCTGCTGGGCATCTGCTGTGTGAGGATTCTTCTCCATCACTGCAAGGACGATGTTGGAAGGGAAAATATTGCAGAGGTTCTTGTAGGTCTGATACTGGTGCTCTGGGATCATATGCTCCCTGGAATCATTGCACATTCCGACCCAAGGATTCCTCCAAAGCTGCTCCATCTTTTCAGGTACGCTCCGTACCATCACTGGTTCATAGCATGGTTGCATGAGGTTGTTACTCAAAGGATAGGAATGGTAGCCATAGGAGTCAGTTGTACAAGGCAGTGGGTCCCAGCTAGCATGTTGTTCCCGGCACAGAGGAGGCCGTCTTTGCCTCATGGGGTTGCTCTCATAGAGGCGGGAGTCAGAAATGCTGTCCATCCGAGTCATCACCAGGGCACGTCCTGGCTGGGAAGTTGCCCCAGGATGGATATTGTGAGGCATGGGGTAGTCTCCAGGACAGCTGAAGCGTGCTCCAGTTGCTGGGTGCTGGGCATGCAGAACTAAGTGGGGGACTGACTGCTTGTGGGGGGCTTGCTTAGAATCCTCTGGGCCATAGCTCTGCGCTCGCATTAAGGCTTCATGGTAACCATGAGGAAAAGGCTGAAGACGGTTTTGAGATGCTGAGCGGTGCAGCTTCAAACTGCCTTCAGGATGGGCATCAGCTACAGCCAAGTACAGGTTGTTGTAAGAGGAATAGTTGTCATTCCTGGTATGGCTCATACGGCTGTCTGGACAGAGGTTGGGATTCCTGGCATACACCCCCGAGTCTGCTTCAGCCATGTAGTACTCTCGATTATGCATGCTGTTGATGTTCATTTTGGAGAAGTCACCTAACATTGAATAGTAGCCATGGTCCCCCAAGGACTCAAACTTTGGGTATTGCTCGGCATAACTAATAGGGGTCCCATGGCTGTTGGTAACCAGGATGGGGGGATACTGCATGCTGGCCATGTGCTCCAATGAGGACTTCTGGTGGGGGAAATGAGAGGATCCTGGCACTGGACTACTGGCCGAACGGGTGTTGAGTGCACCCACTGCATGGCTTTTGGGGGGTGGGATTGTGGGGACACTTAGTGCGGTCACAAGTGAAGGTACAGAACTGGCCTCCGGCTTACGGGAAATGGACAGCCAGTCCTCAGGTTCCACAGCCACCGACCGAATGCTGGGATCTGATTGGCGCTTAGGAGCCACACGCTTGACTTCTGAGGTTATCTCACTTTTGGCATTAGACAACCCTGTGCCACATTTGGCCAGGGTGCCTTCGCTCATAGTTTTCACTGTGGATAGTTTGGCACTGATGCGGAGCTCATCAGCCACCGAACGCTGGGGTTGGTTGGCCCGCTCCGGATGGTAGTATTTGCACTTGTGGCCGTAGGTGCATTTTTTGCCTGAAAAATAATGCCTTGGGGTAAGACCTCTCTCATAGTGGTGTGACTTTCTGTGCCAGAAACTGTCGTAACAATCTGGTCATTCAGGTTAGAGTTTTACTGTTTGGGGTTAAGGCAAAAAAGTAACTTTCCATAAAGATGAGAGACAGACAACACCAAGGAGGCATCACACACTGTGAGGGGAGAGAGAAGAAGAAGAAAGCTGGGGAGGAAACTGCAGTGTGAAAGCTAGGAGCTAAGCAGTTGAACAGCTTTTATTTTCCTATAATTCACAACTTTGCCTAGGGATAACCCGTGTGCTGAAGTGGTGTAGAGCAGCAGCAGGCAGTATAGTGCAATGCAAAGAGCACAGGCTTGGAGGCCAGTCAGAGCTAAGTTTCAATTCCAGCTATGTCACTTACTAGCCATGTGACCTTGGGGAGTGACTACTTCCTGAGCCTCAGTTTCCTCTTCTGTAAACAAGGTTTGCAATTATTCCTATATTATAGGGTTGTTGTAAAGATTAAATGAAGATAATGAACATGAAAATACTCTATGATTTAAATAAATGTTAATTGAGGACAAAAACCCAGATGTTCAAAAACCAATAATTACCCCCAAAAGACTGAACATCCAAAGTAGCCTCAGACCAGGCAACCCGTGTTGCACTGTTAGGCTCACAAACTTTGTAACAGAGGGACTTGGGTAAGATCATTAAAGTACTCTATAAAACTGTATTTTTAAAAAGTAAATGAAACCAAAGTTTAGAAGCAAATTGGAAAGTACAGATCTGAAGAGAAGGGTATTTGTTAGTTGACAGAGGGTGCAATCACCTGCCTGAGAGACATCTTTCTTGGGGCAAAACCCAATTTGGCATTATCCTTTCTGCTTCTGTAGGCCCTGTGGGGTTCTGCGTTTCCCTGCCCCAGCAACACTGCTCAGAACAGAGGCAGCTAGAACACAAATAACAACTAATTTTAACAAGTAACAACTAATCTTTTCAATTCTGGTTACCCTTTTCTCATGCAGTTTCTAGGATGTTTCTTTAAATACCTAAATGAAAATACACGAAGACAAGACTTTAACTCACAGAAAGTAGACAAGCCAGAATTTTCCATTTGACAGGGAAATCTTGAAGATAAAGTATTCTGAGTCCTTATGCTTTCCTTAGTACAGAACTCAGTTTTGCACATAAGGTACTCACCATAAGGGCATGGTTGCTTCTTGTGTTCAGGAACAACAGGTCTCTTTCTTAAGAAATTTTCAAGGCTTGGACCATGGCGTCCTAAAGGATCATCTGGAGGCATAAATCTGAAAGCAAGCAAGAGATAAATGTCTTCCCTTCTGTTCCCAATACCCCTTATCATAAGTGTATGCCTTAATTACCTCTTGCCTCTACTATTGTCACAGCCTCATAATTGCCCTTCCTGTCTCAAGTCTATCTTTTGCTAAGCCAGCATTTTTTTCTCCCTGTTCCCCCTTGATCACAAAAAAATGAATGATTTTTCCTGTGCATAATTCTTCCATGGACTATATGTCCCAGCCAAACTAGCATACCTGCGGTTTTCCTCAACATGTAACCCACTTCCACACCTTTATAGCTTTATTCATGATGTCTTCTTTACCTGTAATGCCCAGCAGCCCCCTTTCCTCTATCTGTAAACTTCAACTCAAATGTCATCTTCTCTGTGAAGCCTTTTCCTATTGTTTCACATAGATAAAGCAATTTAAAAATTGTAACTATAGCACTTATCACACCATACTATGGTTGTCTCTTCTTAAGGGTAAGTCTTGTTTCTTATCCAGCATTTTATCCCCATGGCAGCCAGCATAACGCACAGTACACAGTAAGTGTTCAGGAAATGTTTACTGACGTGAAATGAGATCTATTCCTAGTGGTAACTTGGATTTAGGCTATTCAAAGTCTACAGGAAACTTACTTGTCATTCACAAAAGAATACATCAGCAATCGCTCTTCTATAAACTTCTTCCATTCTGGCTTTTCGATTTGAAGGTCTCGATAGTTATCATTGGATACAATGATGCCATCAGAATCAAAAGCCAGTTTGACTATGAACCGGTCATCATAGCAGACAACTCTCCTGCCTTGGACCCTTCGGGATGGTGTGAAGACAAGAATCTTCTCCTTCTCTAGTTTTCGTAGGATATCTTGATCTGTCAAAATATGGATTATATGCCACAGAGTAGAAATTATCTTTGGAAATTAACAACATTATGAATTGATTAATTGGTACTAGATGAATATATTATTTTCCCTTAGAGAGAAAGTGGCCTCTATTTCTGGCTATGGCACCAATTTGGATTGTGACCTTAGACAAGTCACCTTCCCCTTTGGATTTCAGCTTTCTTTTAGATAAAATGAAGGAATAGGAGCCTTGGCTGGTGTGGCTCAGTTGGTTGGAGAGTTGTCCCGTAAACCAAAAGGTTGCAGATTAGATTCCCAGTCAGAGCACATACCTAGGTTGCGGGTTAAATCTGTGGTTGGGGAACATACGGGAGACAACCAATCAATGTTTCTCTCTCACATTAATGTTTCTCTCTTTCTCTCTCTCTCTCTCTCTCTCTCTCTCTCTCTCTCTCTCTCTCTCTCTCGTCTCCCTCTCTCTCTAAAAAGAAAAAACTCAATAAAAACATATCCTCGGGTGAGGGAAAAAAATGAGGGAACTGAATTCAATGACAACTAAGTTTTAAACCTACCATGAAGAGTGAGAAATATCACTGATATTCTAGAATTCATGCAGCTAAAAACTGAAGCACCGCCGAAACCGGTTTGGCTCAGTGGATAGAGCGTCAGCCTGCGGACTGAGAGGTCCCGGGTTCGATTCCGGTCAAGGGCATGTACCTGGGTTGCGGGCACATCCCCAGTGGGGGATGTGCAGGAGGCAGCTGATCGATGTTTCTCTCTCATCGATGTTTCTAACTCTCTCTATCCCTCTCCCTTCATCTCTGTGAAAAATCAATAAAATATATTTAAAAAATAAAAATAAATAAAAATAAAAAATAAAAAACTGAAGCACCAGCCCGGCCGGTGGGCTCAGTGGTTGAGGGTCAACCTATGAACCAAGAGGTCACAGTTCAATTCCCGGTTAGGGCACATGTCTGGCTTGTGGGTTCAATCCCCAGTGTGGGGCATGCAGGAGGCAGCTGATCAATGATTTTCAACATTGATGTTTCTATTTCTCTCCCCCTCTCCCTTCCTCTCTGAAATAAATAAAATTATATTTAAAAACAAAACTAAAATACCAGTTTTTAGCTGCTGAAGAAAATAGGGCAGTATACTGAGGATGTGTCTGCCACTAGGAGAATAAAGCATCACTCCTAGGGATTCTGTTTTTACCTTCTGCCTAAAGGAAGGCCACAGTTAAGGGAAAACATCAAGCTGTGGTATGTTAGTACTGCCCCTCGTTCCTTTGGCCTCTTAATTGTTGAGAAAAGGAAGGTTGTGTACGAGTAGGGCCAGGATCCACTCTCAGACTGAGTCTGGGAGCCTGTTCAGCCGCTGGTAGACAGCTACAACAGCCATTTGTCACATCAGCCAATAGCTGATACTCAGAGGACTGGGGTCTATATGCTCTGAAATATAAAGAGCTAGCTTCACATATTGTTGTTAGTGAATACAGTGAGCTTCCTGCCATCAGGGCTGCATATAACTTTTTTGGATTTTTGGCAGTTTTGCCTTCATGGGCCATTATTCCATAAAGATATATTAAAAACTAGTGGCCTGGTGCACAAAATTTGTGCACATTAAAAGGAGATTAATTAGAGGAAATATTTTAATATTTCTATTTGCCCTTTCTCTATAATAGAAGTGTCAGAGATGAAAGAAAATTAGTAAAATGTATATGAAAATCTTCCTCCTGTCAGAGTCTGGGGTGCGCTGTGGGACCCAGAGTCAAGTCCCTGCCCACCCACAGCACCTCAAAATCACGTGACACCCAGACTCAGCTAGCCCCACCCCCATTGGGCAAGATCCAGACCCGGCCAGCCCCACCCTTGTCAAGCACCGCCGGGTGGTGGTCGGGGGGGCGCAGCTTCAGGTCCCCCAGCACACCCTCAGGTCCCCTGGCCTGGCCCCAGGGTGGGCGGTACGGCCTCAGGTCCCCCGGCCCGGTGCCAGGACAGGCGGGGTGCAGCCTGAGGTCCCTCGACCCAGCGCCGGGGTGGGGATCATGGCCTGAGGTCCTCTGGCTCAGTGTTGGGGTGGGGGCATGGCCTGAGGTACCCCATCAAGCCCGCTGGACATGGTCTGAGATCCCCCGTCAAAACCCCACTAGGTGGGGGGCATGGCCGGACGGGGGGAGTGGCCTCCAGGTGCCCTGGACTGGCACTGGGGCAGGGAGATGCACCTTGAGGTCCCCTGTCAAGCCCCGCTGGGTGGGGGATGTGGCCTGAGATCCCCCATCAAGCCCTACTGGGCAAGGGGCATGGCCTGAGGTCCCCCGTCAAGCCTTGCCAGGCAGGGGACACAGCCTAAGATCCCCCGTCAAGCCCTGTGGTGGGGGGTGCAAACTCAGGTCCCCGAGCCCGGTGCCAGGAAGTGGGAGCAGCCTCACGGCCCCCATCAAGCCCTGCCTGGTGGGGGCGCAGCCTAAGGTCCCCTGTCAAGCCCCACTGGGCGGGGGGAGCAGCCTGAGGTCCCCCAGCCTGGGGCAGGGGAGCACTCTGAGGTCCACCGGCCCAGCACTGGGGTAGGGGGTGCAACCTGAGGACCTCCATCAAGCCCTGCCAGGCAGGGGGCACGGCCTGAGGTCCCTTGGCCTGGCGCCAGGGCGGGGGTGCAGCCTGAGGTCCCCTGCCCCAGCCCAGTGCCACGCAGCCTCAGGTCCCTGCTGATTGCTTGTTAAGGCTCGTTACAGGAATATGGCCTCTGCTGTGGGCACAGCCATCTTTGTGACTGCATGATGGTCAATTTGCATATTCCATCTTTATTAGATAAGACTAGAGGCCCTGTGGACAAATTCATACACAGGTGGGGTCCCTCGGGGTGGCCTGTGGGGATCAGGCCCCAGCTCGTGCCCCCAGCCTTGCAGCCCCACAACCCCGCCTGGCACCCCGTCATGGCCTGGCACTGCCCCCTCACTTGCTCCACCATCCCACCGTGGTCCTGCTTTCATCAGGGCCCACCGGGGCTGGCAGACCTCCACTGCCGCCCACTGCCAGTGCTGACGCCCACCATGGTCTGCACTGCCCCCTGGTGGTCAGCGCACGTCATAGCGAGCAGTCAAACTTTCAGTCAGACAATTTGCATATTAGGCTTTTATTATATAGGATTATACTTTACAACTGCACTGGTATAGGCACAAATAATCTAGTTAGATATATTATTATTTAATCATCATTATATCCAATTTTTTCCTCCTGATGTTAAAAAGAAAATAAATTAAAGCATTTTTGCCAAACCAGAGTGGCTCGGTTGGTTGAGCATTGTTCAGTGCACTGAAAGGTTGCCAATTCAATTCCCGGTCAGGGCACATACCTGGGTTGCAGGTTGGATCCCCAGTTGGGGCACACACAGAAGGCAACCAATCAAGTTTCTCTCTCTCTCTCTCTACCCGCCCCCCATGTCCTCAAGTGAGGATGTAAAAATAATTTTAAAAATATTGAAACATTTCTGTGGGACCCTAAAAGTATCATCATGGGTCTTGGGCCCTTGGACTACTATGTCTTGTGGATAAGTTGACTCTGACTGCCATGAGACTTCTCTCTCTCTTTCTACCCCCTAATTTCAAATGCCACAATCACTACTCTGGTACAGAATGAGATTCATTTTCTACCAAAGTTTCTTTAGTCTTTTAGGAAACAGTCATATTCATAACCAGATTCAACCTCATTTAATCTGTAGTCTATGGTAAAATAGAAAAGCACACCTTTTTTCAAACTGAGAGCTTGATTCTTTGTTGAATTGAAGGTGTCTCTATTTAACTGTTGTATGGAACAACAGAATGATAGTTTTATTTGGAAAAATATTCCTTTTTTATCACAAGAAAAATGATTTTAAAAATAATAATATTACATGCAATAAATAATATTTCAAGAAAAAAAGATTTTAAATATAATAATATAACCAAAACTGTACTTACATAGTATAATATCACAAAAGTTGTAGGAAATATTAAAAATCTGCAAATATCAGGGTTACTTCAATTCTAAAATATCTTTTTTCTCTGGCTCTATTTTTGTTCATCAGTTTATATTTTTCATTCTAGTCCACAAATGAGTGAGATCATGTGGTATTTATCTTTTTCTGACTGGCTTATTTTGCTTAGCATAATGCTCTCCAGGTTGATCCATGCTGTTGCAAATGGTAAGAGTTTCTTTTTTACAGCTGTACAGTATTCCATTGTATAGATGAACCAGTTTTTTAATCCACTCATCTGCTGATGGGCAGGCACTTAGGCTGATTCCAAATCTTACCTACTGTAAATTGTGCTGCTACGAAACAGAGGGGTGCATATATCCTTTCTGATTGGTGTTTCTGATTTCTTGGGATATATTCCTAGAAGTGGGATCACTGGGTCAAATAAGAGTTCCATTTTTAATTTTTTGAGGAAACTCCATACTGTTCTCCACAGTGGCTGCATCAGTCTGCATTTCCACCAGCAGTGCAAGAGGGTTCCTTTTTCTCCACTTCCTCTCCAGCACTTGTCATTTGTTGATTTGTTGATGATAGCCATTCTGACAGGTGTGAGATGGTACTTCATTGTCATTTTGATTTGCATCTCCCAGATGATGAGTGACTTTGACCATGTTTTCATATGTCTCTTGGCCATCTGTATGTCCTCTTTTGAAAAGTGTCTATTTAGGTCCTTTGCCCATTTTTTGATGGATTGTTTGCCTTCCTTTTGTTAAGTTGTATGAGTTCCCTGTAAATTTTGGAGATGAAACCCTTATTGGATGTAACATTGGCAAATATATTCTCCCATGAAGTGGGCTTTCTTGTTTTGTTGATGGTTTCTTTTGCTGTGCAAAAGCTTTTTATTTTGATGTAGTCCCATTTGTTTATTTTATCCTTAGTTTCCATTGTCCTAGGAGCTATATCAGTAAAGATATTGCTACGACATATCTCTGATATTTGCTGCCTATGGATTCTTCTAAGCTTTTTATGGTTTCTCATATTATGTTTAAGTCCTTTATTCATTTTGAGTTTATTTTTGTGTATGATGTACGTTAGTGGTCTAGTTTCAGTTTTTTTTATGTATCTGTCCAATTTTCCCAACACCATTTATTGAAGAGACTGTCTTCACTCCATTGTATGCTCTTGCCTCCTTTGTCAAATATTAATTGAGCATAATGGCTTGGGTCGATTTATGGGTTCTCTGTTCTGTTCCATTGGTCTATATATCTGTTATTGTGCCAGTATCAGGCAGTTTGTGAACAGTGGCTTTGTACTATAGCTTGATATCTGTATTGTGATCCCTCCCACTTTGTTCTTCTTTCGCAGGATTGCTGTGGCTATTAAGGTCTTTATATATGCAATATGAATTATTGGAGAGTTTGTTCTAGGGATTGAATTAAATCTATAGATTGCTTTGAGTAATATGGACATTTTAATGATGTTGATTCTACCAATCCATGGACATGGTATATTTTCCCATTTTTTAATATCTTCCTCTATGTCTTTTTTCAACATCCTGTAGTTTTCTGAGTACAGGTTTTTTCTTACCTTCTTTTTTTATTTTATGTATTTTTTATTGATTAAGATATTACAAATATGTCTTATCTCCCATTGTTCCCTCATCCCCCCAGTCCTGCCCTCACCCTCACCCTCACACCCTGTTGCCTGCATCTATCGCTTATGCTTATATGCAAGCATACAAGTCCTTTGGTTGATCTCCCTCTCTTACCCCCACCCTCCCCTAACTTCCCTCTGCAGTTTGAGCATCTGATCGATGCTTCTCTGTCTCTGGATCTGTTTTTGTTCATCAGTTTATGTTGTTCATCATATTCCATAAATGAGTGAGATCATGTGATATTTATCTTACTCTGACTGGCTTATTTCACTTAGCATAATGCTCTCCAGTTCCATCCATGCTGTTGCAAATGGTAAGAATTCCTCCTTTTATACTACAGCGTAGTATTCCATTGTGTAGATATACCACAGTTTTTTAATCCACTCATCTGCTGATGGGTACTTAGGCTGATTCCAAATCTTAGCTATGGTGAATTGTGCCACTATGAACACAGGGGTGCATATATCCTTTCTGATTGGTGTTTCTGTTTTCTTGGGATATATTCCTAGAAGTGGGATCACTGGGTCAAATGGAAGTTCCATTTTTAGTTTTTTGAGGTAACTCCATACTGTGCTCCACAGTGGCTGCACCAGTCTGCATTCCCAGCAACAGTGCAAGAGGGTTCCTTTTTCTCCTCATCCTTCCCAGCACTTGTCGTTTGTTGATTTGTTGATGATAGCCATTCTGACAGGTATGAGATGGTACCACATTGTCGATTTGATTTGCATCTCTCAGATGATTAGTGACATTGCTGGGTTAGTGGTGATGTACTCCTTTAGCCTTTTTTGTCTGAGAAGCTCTTTATTTGACCATCTATTTTGAATGATAGCCTTGCTGGATATAGTAATCTTGGTCTCAGATCCTTGCTTTCCACTACCTTGAGTACTTCATGCCATTCCCTTCTGGACTGTAGAATTTCTAATGAGAAGTCAGGTGTCAGCCTTATGGGAACGCCTTTGTAGGAACAGTTTTCTTTTCTCTTACTGCCCTTAAGATTCTCTCTTCGTGCCGAACCGGTTTGGCTCAGTGGATAGAGAGTCGGCCTGCGGACTCAAGGGTCCCGGGTTCGATTCCGGTCAAGGGCATGTACCCTGGTTTCGGGCACATCCCCAGTGGGGGGCATGCAGGAGGCAGCTGATTGATCTCTCTCATTGATGTTTCTAACTCTCTATCCCTCTCCCTTCTTCTCTGTAAAAAATCAATAAAATATATTTTTTAAAAAAAGATTCTCTCTTCGTCTTTAATTTTTGGCATTTTAATTATGATGTGTCTGGGTGTGGGCCTGTTTGTGTTCTTCTTGTTTGGGGTTCTCTGTGCCTCCTGAACTTGTGTGACTTTTTCCTGTACCAGGTTAGGGAAGTTTTCTGCCATTATTTCTTCAAACACCTTCTCTTGCCGTTCTCCCTTTCTGCCTCTTATGGAAAACCTGCTATTCCAATATTGTTATGTTTCACATTTCACATTGTCCCACAGCTCCGTTAAGCTGTCCTCCTGTTTTTTAATTGTTTTTTTCTTTTTGGTTTTCTGATTGAGTGATATTTTCAACTCTGTCTTCTAATTCACTGATTTGATCCTCAGCTTCCCCTAATCTGCTGTGAATTCCTTCCAATGTGTTCTTTATTTGTGTTATGTCATTCTTTATCTCAGACTGTTCTTTTTTCATAGTTAACATGTCTTTTTTCATACTGTTGAGCATCTTTACCATCATTACTCTGAATTCTGCTTCAGATAAATTTCTTCTCCATGCTTTATTTATCTCTTCTGGAGAATTCTCTAGTTCTTTCATTTGGGCTTTCTATTTGGGTTTGTGACTATGTATTAGGTAGATCTTCTATACCTCTCAATCTCTAGTGCAGGACAGTGTTAAAGGCTGTTTCTGACTAATTAGATCAGGGAAAGACTCAAAGCCTACAGAGACTGCCTTTGCCTACAGCAGTGGTTCTCAACCTTCCTAATGCCGCGACCCTTTAATACAGTTCCTCATGTTGTGGTGACCCCCAACCATAAAATTATTTTTGTTGCTACTTCATAACTGTAATTTTGCTACTGTTATGAATCGTAATGTAAATATCTGACATGCAGGATGTATTTAGGCAACCCCTGTGAAAGGGTCGTTCGACCCCCAAAGGGGTCGCGACCCACAGGTTGAGAACCGCTGGCCTACAGACTGTTAGGATTCTGACTTGAATTGTCCTCAAGGCAATCGTCCTCAGGTGTGGTGAGAATTTTCTTTCAACAGGGTGGGGCAGTTTCTTCTGCCTGGAGGCTAATTGTTATTTTTAATCTCTTAAATAGCCTCAGGGTAAGGTGTTTTCCAATAGGGTGTGTCAACTGTCTTCCCCCCAGGCAAGGCAAATGTCTATGTGGAAAGATGTCCTCTGCTGTGTGAGGGAATGACTCAGCCCAGGAAACTAAGGGTGTCTTCCTTCTGAGCTCTATCCCCTGAGTCTCCAGTCCTGGCTTCTGCTCTCACAGCTCCAGTCCACTTCACCCTCCCTTTGCTGGAGCACATGGTGGGTGGCTCTACAGGGAATTTTGTGTGTTGGTCCTTTAAGAGGGTGCCTGAATTTTCAGCTATTACTCTCTGGCAGACAGCACCCAACTGCTTTTCACAGCCAGATGTTACGTGAGTACCTCCTCAGTTTTGGTGTTCTCTGTTAGGGGGCCCAGCTTTGGGATTAGATCCTAGAATTCTCAATGGCAACCCCCCACAACTGAGATATCTCTCTGGGACTTAGTTGCTGTCTGTGGGTGCCTAGCCAGCCCTTTCAGGCCTCTGTTCCTCCTTCCAGTCTCTATGCCAGCAGTTCTCAACCTGTGGGTCGCGACCCCTTTGGGGGTCGAACGACCCTTTCACAGGGGTCACCTAAGACCATCGGAAAACACATATATAATTACATATTGTTTTTGTGATTAATCACTATGCTTTAATTATGTTCAATTTGTAACAATGAAATTGGGGGTCACCACAACATGAGGAACTGTATTAAAGGGTCGCGGCATTAAGAAGGTTGAGAACCACTGCTCTATGCGGTCTCCACTTTTGGTCCTCAGGTGTCAAACTCTCCTGCAAGTTTTCTGTTGACTGTTCAGGAAGTTTTTCTGTATTTTAGTTGTAATACCAGTTTGTTCCTGGGAGCATGTCTGTGCAACATCCACTTACTCTGCCGCCATTTTTAATCTCTGGAAAAATATTCTTAAAATATACTTAATAAAATAAATTTTAAAGTATACTTAATAAACTTATAAAAATAATTATCTAAATTGAGATCATCAACATCTCTCCAAACTATCTCGCTACTTTGCTCTGGATGAGAAAAAATGTCTTATTTAAAATCATACCTGTAATTAGTGCATCAGGTCGGGATTGCTCCTTTCTCCATGCGGGCACAAATACAGTAATATCTTTATGGCCTTTATCTAGAAACCAATCCACAGCTAGTTGTATTCCTCTGCAAGAGAACTCTTCTTTATTCCCATGGCTTTAGAAAGACAAAGAGTAAGAGGAGAGGACTGACAACAGGTAGGAAATAAATGCTCTAAACAGACTTTTTCTTAGTAGCAAGATATTAACATTTTCATACTTGATAATGCCAAAAATGTATTTTTAAAAAGAGGAAATAAAATTTTTTTATTCAATCATTACAAAGTATGCCATTATTATTATACCTTCATTCAAGGTCACAGATGGTTAAAAACAACTCACAATTTATTAATGATAGGTTATTTCCTATTACTACTTCTATTTTCTCCTCTTTCTGTTCCTATTATAACCTTATAATAGAAACTTCAAAGACTTGGATATTATCAACAGATGAAAAATAAGAGGTGTCAGACATCAAGTTATATTATAAAGCCACTGTTCTCAAAACTGCCTGGTACTGGCACAAGAACAGATATATAGACCAATGGAACAGAACAGAGAACTCAGAAATCAACCCAAGCCATTATGCTCAATTAATATTTGACAAAGGAGGACAAGAGAGCCCACTGCATGGGAGAATATATTTGCCAATGTTACATCTGATAAGGGTTTAATCTCTAAAATTTATAGGGAACTCATACAACTTAACAAAAGGAAGGCAAACAATCCAATTAAAAAATGGGCAAAGGACTTAAATAAACACTTCTTGAAAGTGGACATACAGAAGGCCAAGAGACATATGAAAAAATGCTCAAAGTCACTAATTATCCGAGAGATGAGAATCAAAACAACAATGAGGTACCACCTCACACCAGTTAGAATGGCTATCATCAACAAACCAACAAACGACAGTGCTGGTGGGGATGTGGAGAAAAGAGAACCTTCATACAGTCCTGGTGGGTGCCTGTATGAATGCAGACTAATGCAGCCACTGTGGAAAACAGTATGGAGTTTCCTCAAAAAATTAAAAATGGAACTCCCATTTGACCCAGTAATCCTCTCAGACTATATCCCAAAAAATCAGAACACCAATCAGAAAGAACATATGCACCCCTAATGTTCATAGCAGCACAATTTACAGTAGCTAAGATTTGGAAACAGCTTAAGTGCCCATCAGTATATGAGTGGATTAAAAACCTTTGCTACATCTACACAATGGAATACTACACTGCTGTAAAAAAGAAAGAACTCTTACCATTTGCAATAGCATGGATGGTCATGGAGATTATGCTAAGCAAAATAAGCCAGTCAGAGAAAGATAAGTATCACAGGATCTCACTCATTTGTGGAATATAATGAACAACATAAACTGATGATCAAAAATAGATTCAGAGACATAGAATCATCAGATAGTCACACCTCAGAGGGAAGGCAGGGGAGGGTGAGCGGGGGGTATATGGGGTGTAAGAGATCAACCAAGGAACTTATATGCATATAAGCATAACCAATGGACACAGACAATGGGGCGGTGAAGGCTGGAGCTGGTTGTTGGGTGCAGGCTGGGAGAGGACAATGGGGGGAAAGGGGGACATATGTAATATATACATTTTTAATTTATTATTTTTATTTTTTAATTTAATTTTTTTATTGATTAAGTTATTACATATGTGTCCTTATCCCCAAATTACCCCCCCATCCACCCCCCTCATGCCCTCACCCCCCTATTGTCTGTGTCCATTGGTTAGGCCTATATGCTTGCATATAAGTCCTTTGGTTGATCTCTCCCCCTTACCCCCCGACCCTACCCTACCTTCCCTCTGAGGTTTGATGGTCTGATTGATGTTTCTCTGTCTCTGGATCTGTTTTTGTTCATCAGTTTATGTTGTTCATTATATTCCATAAATGAGTGAGATCATGTGATATTTATCTTTCTCTGACTGGCTTATTTCACTTAGCATAATGCTCTCCAGTTTCATCCATGCTGTTGCAAATGGCAAGAACTCCTTTTTTACTGCAGCATAGTATTCCATTGTGTGGATGTACCACAGTTTTTAAAAAAATATATATATTTTATTGATTTTTTACAGAGATGAAGGGAGAGGGATAGAGAGTTAGAAACATCGATGAGAGAGAAACATCGATCAGCTGCCTCCTGCACACTCCCCACTGGGCATGTGCCTGCAACCAAGGTACATGCCCTTGACCGGAATCTAATCCTGGGATCCTTGAGTCCGCAGGCCAACGCTCTATCCACTGAGCCAAACTAGTTAGGGCTGTACCACAGTTTTTTAATCTACTCATCTACTGATGGGCATTTAGGCTGTTTCCAAATCTGAGAGATGCAAATCAAAATGACAATGCAGTACCACCTCACACCTGTCAGAATGGGTATCATCAACAAATCAATGAACGCCAAGTGCTGGTGAGGATGCAGAGAAAAAGGAACCCTCGTGCACTGCTGGTGGGAATGCAGACTGGTGCAGCCACTGTGGAGAACAGTATGGAGTTTCCTCAAAAAACTAAAAATGGAACTCCCATTTGACCCAGTGATCCCACTTCTAGGAATATATCCCAAGAAACTAGAAACACCAATCAGAAAGGATATATGTACCCCTATGTTCATAGTGGGACATATGTAATATTTTCAACAATAAAGAATTTTTGAAAAATTAAAAATAAAGAAGAAGAAATATTGCAAAAGATTTAGATAAAGTTTATACGAAGGATCAGTTGGAGATGAATCTTAAGTAGATATATTAAGCTTTAAAAAGAACATTGACAGCAAAAATGACACACATAAATGCTGACTGAAAATAGTTATCACATTTAATTAAATATAATACTCCAACAAAATCACATTTTTGAAAATTTTGATATGAGAAATGCTTATAATATAATAATAAAAGAGAAAAAAGATACAGACTAGTATATATAATCCCAATTTTGTAGAAAACAGTCTATGTATCCTATATAATAAAGAGGTAATATGCAAATTAACACTTATGCCCTCACAAGATGGCTACCTATGACCAGGCTGGCAGGGGGGTTAGTGAGGGACGACCAAACAACTGAACTGCAGGCTTCGTGGGCGACCAGGCCAGTGGGGACTTGGTGAGGGGGGACCAGTTCCCGCAGGGGGGGCCAGTTGGGCGTTCCCAGCCCAGCAGGGGAGCCCAGTTTGGGAGAAACCAGGCTGGCAGGGAGGGGGGCAGTTGGAGGCGTTCTTGCCCAGCAGCAGGGGGCAGTTAGGGGCGATCAGGCCGGCAGGGGGGGCAGTTAGGGTGACCAGGCAGGCAGGTAGGTGAGCAATTAAGAGCCAGTAGTCGAGGATTGTGAGAGGGATCGGGCCTAAACCAGCAGTCGGACACGCCCTGAGGGCTCCCGGATTGGAGAGGGTGCAGGCTGGGCTGAGGGGACCCCACCCCCATGCATAAATTTTGTGTACCGGACCTCTAGTAAGCTTATAAAATAAAGGGTGTCCCAAAATTCACGCAAGAAGTAATTTTGATAGAAAACACAGGTTTATAATTAAAAATTGTAAATTTTTTATTGATTCATAAAGTATATAGTATAGGGTTATGTATGGAATAGGATATCGGGTAAATGGCCTCCACGGCTTTGCTGGCACATACGCACTCTTTTGTTGAAATTTTCCATGACCGTTTTGCATAAATGTGGCTGAATTTCAATGAGGCTCATTTTCATCTTGATGGCTTGGTTAATCAACACAATTGTCGCATTTGGGGTTCAGAAAATCCACGAGTGATTGTTGAAAAACAAATGCATCCACAACATGTCACTGTTTGGTGCGGATTTTGGGCTGGAGGCATCATCGGACCATTCTTCTTCGAAAATGTGGCTGCTGAGGCAATAACAGTTAATGGTGCTCGGTATCAAGATATGATAATCCAGTTTTTTGTGCCTAAATTGCAAGATATGGATGTGGATGACATGTGGTTTCAACAAGATGGTGCCACATGCCATACAGCCCGAGAAACAATTCAATTACTGCATGAGTCATTTCCTGGTAGTGTAATTTCCCCTTTTGGTGATCAGAATTGGCCACCCAGATTGTGCGATTTACGCCGTTGGACTTTTTTCTTTGAGGTTTTTTGAAGTTTAAGGTTTATTCCAACAAGCCCATGACCACCCACGCCTTGAAGGAGGAAATTGAGCATTGTAGCAACAAAATTCAGCCACATTTATGCAAAACGGTCATGGAAAATTTCAACAAAAGAGTGTGTATGTGCCAGCAAAGCCGTGGAGGCCATTTACCCGATATGCTATTCCATACATAACCCTATACTGTATACTTTATGAATCAATAAAAATTTATAATTTTTAATTATTTTTTTAAAAATATATTTTATTGATTTTTTACAGAGAGGAAGGGAGAGAGATAGAGAGTTAGAAACATCGATGAGAGAGAAACATCGACCAGCTGCCTCCTGCACATCTCCCACTGGGGATGTGCCCGCAACCCAGGTACATGCCCTTGACCGGAATCGAACCTGGGACCTTTCAGTCCGCAGGCCGACGCTCTGTCCACTGAGCCAAACCGGTTTTGGCTAATTTTTAATTATTAACCTGTGTTTTCTATCAAAATTACTTCTTGCGTGAATTTTGGGACACACTTTACTAAAAAGTAGATATATTGAAATACTAATAAAAATTGTTATTCTGTGTGAGAAGGTTCTAAGTGATTTATTTTCTTTCTCTAATTCTCAAATTCCTTCAAAATTAAGTATTTCTTTTAAAATTAGGTCATGATACAAAAAGAGAAGACATTGTATCACAATTATTTGTAGGAACAAACACTGTCAAAATTAATTTGATTGGAAATTTGAAGAAGGAAAATTATCAGATGAATTGAAAAAAAAAATTTTTTGTAATAATCTTAAAAAAACTCACAAATGGTGTACTAGTTTGGCTGTGAAAATTCTGATCTCTTAGCATGGAATCTGGTACTCTGACATATACATAAGCCACAATAAATTACAGTAAGTTTAAACAGCTTGGATGGTAAAAACAAGTTGGCTTACATGTAGCAATTCCATTGCAATAACTGATATTACCTGTGGAACAAGGCTGCTCAGAAGAAAAGAAACATTTTGCTACAAGACTAATTAAGATAATGTGATGGGGGCTCTCTTTAGATTTCTCACTGATAATCACTCAACTACAAGAGAAATTAGCTGTAATTATCTTGGGTGAATTCATACATATTCTCAGGGGCCCCATTAATATATGCACTTCAAGAGTTTCCAGTCTGATCATTTTTTAGGTACATGACAAAAATTTATTAAATGTCCTAACAAGGACATTTCCAAACATGTTAATCATGTTTAAGATATCCAGTAAGTACTGTAAAGCAATTCTACTACTCTACTAAAAGTCGAAGCACTTAAGGTAAAAGAAAACATATTTAACTGCCAATATACTCCAAGGTAGGCTTAGGGACAGCTACCACTGATTGCTTCTAAAAAGTTGAACTATGGGTAAATTGGGCAAGCCCATGGGTCTTAAGTAGTTATTATATTGGCTTATAAGGATGATGTCCAGTTGTGATTTTTCCCACTGCTATAATACTGGTAAGTGTAAGGATAACATGAACTCTAAAAAAATCATCATAATTTCTATTAGAGGAGAAATTTGGAGAAATTGGATGGAATTTCATTTTACTTGGTTTTTCAGTGCTATAAAGTGTGCCATCTCAAAAACAGTCTACTGCATGCCCCCTACTAGCTATAGCAAGTGACCTCAAGGAAGTCACTTAACTTTGCTGAACTCTAGTTTTGTCATCTGTAAAATAAAGTTGCTGTGAGGATTAAATAGAACTATATATTAAAGTGTACCTTCAGTTAGTCTGTTAAGCAACTCCTGAATACAGCAATGGTATTGTTCATAAGAGTTGCCCCTGTTCCTGCTCCCTCATATCTCTGTGGGAGCATCCAATACTGTGCAATGTGATGTGGGGAAAACAAGGGAGGCATAAAACAATAGTGGGCATAGAAATCAGCATAATTTACATGGAGATTGTTAAAGAGACTTATGTAAATGTGGGAGAGATAAAATCAAATGGGAGGAAGAAAAGGTCATATCACAGAATAAAAAATTTGTTCTGATTGTGTACAGTCTAAGTATCCCACTGAGCTCATCAAGCAATGGTGGACTCAATAGAAAGTTGGCTCCTGATCACTGGGAATGTTTAATCCAAACTTGGATGACAACTCATTTGAGAAACAGAAGAAGGAATTTCTAAGGCTCTCTGACATAAAATAAACAATTATACCAGAGAGTATAGAATGAAGTATGAAGGCATTCTTGTTTGTGTATTACTTTCCTACTGCTGATATAATATTTAGTGGCTTAAAATCACACCAATTTATTCTCTTATAGTTCAGGAAGTCAGAAGTCTAAAATTAAAATGTTGGCAAGGCTGTGTTCTTTCTGCAGATTTCAGGGGAGAATTGATTTCTTAGCCTTTTCAGCTTCTGAAAGTTGCCCACATTTCTTGGCTTATGGCCCCTTTTTTACATAACTCTATACTATTCTTTCTGTCATTACATTTCCTACCATTTATTCTGTTCCTGCTGTCTCCCTCACTCTTATAAGGACCCTTGTGATTATACTGATGCCACCTTGATAATCCAGGATAATCTCCCACACCTCAAGATCCTTAACTCAACCATATCTGCAAAGCCCCTTTTACCATGTAAAATAACAGATTCACAGATTCCAGGGATTAGGATGCAGACATCTTTAGGGAAATATTATTCAGCCTACCATAAGTACAGCAGCTCAGAGACTATCATTGGGACCAGAAAAGGCAGAACATTGTTTGAGGAGGTGGTACAACATGAAGGGTATGAAGATAAGGAGGAGGTCATCCTAGGTTGGGAAGAAAAGGTCATATCACAAAACCAGGTAAAGGGATCCAAATTTGGTAGAATGGCAATCAGGAGTTACTGTAAGTTCCCAAGTATGCACTCAAGTCACATTATAAAAGCAACATTTTCAGGATGATTGGTCCAGCCAAGTACAAGTGGCAGAGGGGACTCCAAGAAAAACAAAGGCTAAATGTTTATGTCTTCTCTGAAGCATCACTGGTGTCTAAGCTGCTTTCAGCATACCTGAAAAAAAAATTGGCAACTATTTCAAAAGAGAAAGAAAAGGCCAGGGCAGAAACATTTTAGCCGCTGTCCACTTAGAGGAGCACAAGCTACAGACAATAACCAAGGGCCTCTCATAGTCTTTGGCAAAGGAAGACAATTTCTATGAGCTCAGGGCACTTTTAAAGAAAGATAGAGAAAATATACCAGTCTTACCTCATTGCCACATTACTTCCATCAATGACAACTGGCCTCAAATTGTCACTGCTGTCTATTTCATCTTCAAGAGACAGTTCAGGGCTTGCAATCTCTCTGGAGCTGGGCCCCCGAGGCACTAACAGACTCAAGTTGACCTGCCCTTCTGAATCACCTTTGTTCCCAAGTCTGACAAGCTCTGCCAATACATCATTGATAAGTGATTCTGGGCCCAGCTTGTTCAGCACTGATTGAATCTGTTCCTCTGCATAGCCCAACTTTAGAGCAAAATCCACCTTGGCTTGGTATTCTTTTTCCAAGTCAACCTTCCCATCCTGTAGAATGCTGCTCTGGGAGAAGCTTGGACGATCTAGGCAGGGTGATCTACAGAGCTGGCGGTGTGGCTTGGAGGGAATCTCCTTTTTCTTCAACTGAACAACTCCAGGTTGGCAGCTATTGTCACTGCTGTTGCTGCTCTTAAGGCTCATCTGTTCAGGGTCACTCTCAGAGCTCATACACTCTTCAGAATCAGCATTGCCCTGTTCTGTGCTGTCTTGGTTAGGTTGCTGCTTCTCTTCTTTGGAGGCACTCTTCTTCATTTTTGGTGTCTCCACTGCAGCTGTAGCCGTCATCCCGTTTAGTGGGTCTGAGATCTAGTCAACTCTTTTTCTTTTTAGCCTGTTTGGAATCCACGTAGTGTGGCATTTCTTTGTGGTACAGTGTGGTAGTAGTGGTGGTGCAAAAGTTTGTCTGTTTGGTTTGGTATGTTCAGATGTTACCAATCCCTGCAAATGAACACACATATCACAATCATATTTAGTAAAATTCTGGAAAAGCAATTTAGAATATAGTGATTTCTTCTTAAGAAATTACAGGTTGTCTGACATTTTATTTTTCTACTTAAAATAGTTGGATTTACCTTGCATAAAAATATAGAGTTTTAAATTATGTAATAATTTTAGACATGTCTTTCAGTGGTGGAAATAATGCTATAATCCCTCCCCCCCGCCACACACACAAAAAATCACAGCCAAAGTTAACAGCTTATCACAACTTAGAGAAATAGAAACATGGTGCTTTAACAGGGTGCAAAAAGATATATATACTAGAGGCCCGGTGCACAAAAATTTGTGCATTCGGGGGGTAGGGAGTCCCTCAGCCCAGCCTGTGCCCTCTCGCAGTCTGGGACCCCTCAGGGGTGACCACTTGCTGGCTTAGGCCTGCTCCCCGGGGGATTGGGCCTAAGCTGGCAGTCAGACATCCCCCTGGCAGCCCGGCAGCCCTCGGGGGATGTCCACTTGCCAGCGGGGAGCAGACCAAAGCTGCAGTCAGACATCCTTAGCGCTGCTGAGGAGGCAGGAGAGGCTCCCACCACCACCGCTGTACTGGCAGCCGTCAGCCTGACTTGTGGCTGAGCAGAACTCCCCATGTGAGAGCGCCCTGACCACCAGAGGGCAGCTCCTGCATTGAGCGTCTGCCCCCTGGTGGTCAGTGTGTGTCATAGTGACCAGTCATTCCCAGTCTTTCTGCTGTTAGGGTCAGTTTGCATATTACCCTTTTACTATATAGGATAGAGGCCTGGTGCACGGGTGGGGGCCGGCTGGTTTGCCTGAACGGTGTCCTGGATCAGGGTAGGGGTCTTGCTTGGGTGCCTGGCCAGCCTGGATGACGGGCTGATGACTGTTTGCAGCTGGTCACACCCCCTTCAGGGTGGGGGTCCCCACTGGGGTTCCTGGCCAGTCTGGGTGAGGGGCTGAGGGCCGTTTTCAGGCTGGCGGGCGACTGAAGCTCCCAGCTTCTTTGTTTTTTTCTTTTTTTTTTTAAATTCTGGGATTTATTTACCTTCTATAGCTGTCACTGGAGCTGAGAGCCGGCTCCAGCTCTGAGGCCCAGCTACAGCTCTGAGGCCGTGGCTGGCTGAAAGCAGGTATCTGGGTTTGTTTAGCTTCTATAATTGAAACTCTGTTTCATCACTGGCACTCTAAGCTCTGAGGCCCAGGCTGGCTGAAAGCAGGTATCTGGGGTTTGTTTAGCTTCTATAATTGCAACATTGTTGCTTCCGGAGTTCAGAGCTGGGCCCGCGCAGGCTGGGAACCTTGGCTTCCTCCATCACTGGAGCAAGCAAGCCTCATGTTCACTTCAGCTGCGTGGCTGCCAGCCGCCATCTTTGTTGGCAGT